GGATGCCTCACACTGGTTCAACAGTACTGGACTCACCTCCGTATGGTAAATGGCCATGACAGCCGTTAACGGCAATCTAGAAACTTGAGATAGTTTTAATACGATTAATGCATCAGTTATATATATGGCGTGTCATATTCCTCTCAAGGGCTGCACTGTGAGTTGCAGCTAACTTTAGTACTTCTGGTGGAGGAGTGAATGCGATTGCATTGTCATTGGAACGACTAGGAGCCCCTCGCTTCTGGGCGCCTCTTTTACCATTCGACTGTTGGTATCAAGGAGGCATTGCTGTGGAGCCACTTGTTGATTCGCGGAAGAGTTCTTCTGGGATTTTACCTATATGAGCGGAAATAACAGAAGAAGATGAAGCAGGAGGTGAGATCGATCGCAACTGAAGTGGAAGGACCTCTAAAAAATTGTAACTTACTGCAGAGTTTCCCTAAGAGGTCCGAGCCATAGGTCTCTAACTTTCGATGAAGATACATGAGCCACTTGGAGTTTTTGGCAAAGTTATCATATTCTTTGAACTGAGTTGCCAATTTGGCTGCCTGAACGGACAACCCTTCCGCAAGCTTTTCTGCGTATTCTTTGTGATTGCCACTTCTTTTCCAAGAAGCAAAATTATTCTCGTAGGCTTTGATCATTTGTTTGACCTTTATCTTTGTGTCCTCTCACTGGTACGTGCCACAAATAGTATCCAGGGGGTCATTGTAGATGTCTGGATAAGCGGATTTTTTGAATTGGGAAAGATCGTGGTACAGTACCATGAGCCATTCATGGAAGGTTTGCCCAGTTCTCTTCTGATCATTCAGCTCTTCTCTGGTAAGACTACCATTTCGCTTGTCTAGAATTGAGTGCATTGCTTCACAGAGTAGGCACTTGATCAATCTAATAATGTTCCACTTTCTCACAGTCACAATCGTTGGTGCAGGGTTGTACTGTGCATGACAAAGTAGGATGCAGAATGATGTTAGATTCGATTGGCTTTCCAGTCCAATTGCAATAAGATTCCAACTTACCATTGTTGCTAGCGTTCCGTTTGCTTTTGCGATTTGATATTCTTGTACTTTGGTACCAATAAATTCACAATAATCTCCTTTCTTCATGTCTGCTTTCTTCATTTCTGTAGGCGATCCGAGATTCAGTCTTGATACCCCCACCAATATCCGCAAGAGGTCAACAGGAATGTCTTTGATCACAACACCAGCAACGGACCGAAGTCTGGTCAGCCTGTCCCGTGCATTGGTGAACCGGTTTATCGCAACCTGATCGGTGACAATGTCGTCAAAAGTAGCCGCTTTGAGTTTTGCTTGCAAAGACATTGTTGCTGTCGTTGCCTCAATTCCTGTAGTAGCTGTAGCTGCTATTGTAGTTGTAGTTGTAGTTGTAGTTGTAGTTGTAGTTGTAGTTGTAGTTGTAGTTGTAGTTGTAGTTGTAGTTGGTGTTGGTGTTGGTGTTGGTGTTGGTGTTGGTGTTGGTGTTGGTGTTGGTGTTGGTGTTGGTGTTACTACTTGTCAAACTCCCACATCGTGTGTTGCCAGAACGTCGCTTCCGCCGCATTCCTTGGAACAGTACCAGCGACCGTCTTCCTTGCTAATTGTCATCAACATATTTTCCTGTACACACAAGTTGTGGACTCCGCATTTACATTGAATGCAAGCATGATTCGGATGGAGAGAATCATATTTGCAGTTTCGGATGCTGCAAAAGCCATTTGAATGTGATACTGCAACTTTGGCCCAAACTCTTCTACCGACTAATTTGGCAGCAGTATTTTGGTCACCGGGTGGTAATGTTTTTGCGCTGTAATTCTGTTTGTTCAAACCAATGTTGTAATGAAGGTTATCATCGTCCTCGCTATCAGAGTCTAATGGAAGAATTGACACGGCATTCGTCATGATACACTAGTGAAAAGAGCCGAAGATTAAGTGCAATGGAGTCTTTTTTATGTGAATTGTGAGTGGTCGTCGAAACGCTATTGAGAATTGGCCAATCAAATCATTCAATTTCAAAATGCAGGATGGATGCAGATTGATTCCTGCAGCTCGCGGCAAAATAGTACCCGGAAGTGGATTCTGCATTGCAAATCCGCGTGGCTGCACGTTTTATGCGGGTCAGTCAGAGCAATCGAACGAATCGATCAATCAAACAATCCTTCAGGCAGGCTACTGTACCGGTACATTATACCACGGTGCTGTACCGTTAGGTCAACAGCCCAGCCTGCTTTCGTTTCACGGCTATACATGCTGTCAAACCTAGGGTGCCCAAAGTAGTCTGACAAGGGGTGAAGAATATGCAATTCCGCGTCGTAATCCCAGAAGGGACCAGGCAGAACTCTACAATTCGAATTCGATGCCCAGATGGCACAGAGGCAGACGTGAAGATTCCAGGGGGACTAAAGCCTGGCGATCCCTTCCTTTTTGACATCTCTGTCGATCAACTAACGAATCCCCAAGCACTTCTGGATACACTAAAGGAAAATTCAATCGCATCTGATAGTCTATCGATGAAAAAAGGATTCTTGGAACGAGATATTGTTAGTATGAATGATCTGCTACTAGCACTATCGGTCGGATTGATCATTGGCCTTGGTATCATTGTTGGTTTCATAGTTGGTATCCTCTATGCGACGAGAAATTCTCAAGCAGATAGTGCACCCATGCATTCGATTAAATGAATCGGCGGCAGCGATACAGTATACAAACCAAGAAGTAACAGGGTACTATGCACCAGATGGATTACGTGCCGAATTACACCCAACCAGACGTTTGACCTCTGATGAACGCAAAACAATATTTCATAACGCGCCAAACAAACAATGCGGAGCTCAATCCTTAAAACAAAAGAAGAAATTGGATGAACTTGACGTTCTACAGTTTCTTAGGGGTCAGAGCTTTGAGGAAGCGCTTCCAGCAGAACTAGACAAACTCAGCCCCGCGGAAATCAAATCCGTGTTTGTAGTCAGAGATTCAATTGTCTTCATGCATGACCCTCCTGCTTCCTATCATCCAAAGGTGGTGGGTATCAAGATGCCTGTGGATGGAAATGGTAAAGAGACAGTTTTTCTATTGAACAACCCCAGAATCGATGCCCTTTGACCGGTTGTAAACAAGATAGATTCTTGACGCTTCAAGGTGGTGGCAACAAAAGAGATATCAAGTTTATGTTGGCTTACAAAAAGGACGAGCACTGCTTTGAAGAGTTCACAAAGCCGTATATTCTCTTGGAGAAGAGAAATGGAAGCAGACACGTTCGCACACGCGTTCCTGTCGAGGCTCTAAAGAGTGCCCATCCCGGAAACAATTGATATAACAATCTTCTTTTGGAAGCAGCAGAGTGTAGCAAAGCGGGCCATGCTGAACAGAAGGAAATCATAACTAGAACTGCCACTAAACACTATAAGAACGGAGGACGCATGTCGTCCAAGAACCCGAAACACAACAGTACTCGTTTCTACTCGACAGATTCAAGTAAGGTTCATGGACAAACTAAAAAAAGATTGGAGTCTAAGAACCAAGAAAAACTCGGAAGACGCTAAAAAGGCTGGATTCTTTGAGCCGAGAATCTTCGATTTTGGAAATTTCAATCAGGCTTTTTGGATTTCAGTTGTCCTAGCCAATCCACCATTGAGCATTATAATTGTGATCATTGTAATTTTTATTTGGCGACTGAGCCACTCTTAAAGGCCCGCACATCAACAGAAGAGAAACCTAGTTCCCGAAAGAAAGAGTTCCATAATTTCAGAGAGTCTTTGGCGTCAATTAAGGCCTTGTCTTCGACTTCCACCATTGCCTTCCCCTTGGCAAGAAGTCTCACTCGCAGATTGTTGGTAGGATCTAGACTCAAAGATTGGCGAACGTGCCGTTCGGCCTGTTCTATTCGCTCCAAATGTTGCGGAATGGCTTCCACTCCCAGAGCCAAACGGCTCCTAAGACAAGGCGAGGCGGCGTAATTCCAGTTTGGCAGTCCAAGCAACTTTGCAGCAAGTCGGACGTTTTCTTTGGTGGTGAGTCTAAGCGGAGATTGCACACTGAAACTATCAGCGGCAATCAAACCCAGCCGAGTTGGATCATTTAAATCATCGCTATTTGTTCCATTGTACAACTTTCTATCGCCTGCTTCTGCTCCAGTGTGCTCAAAAACAGAATCTAGGCAAGAGTAAAGATGAGTTTTGCAAGCCAAACAGGCTTGTCCGCTATTTTCGATGTACATTTCATCAGATGATTCCGTTGTATGAATCTTCTCCAGTGCAATGCCAATAAAGCCAGCCACTTCTTCTGCTAGTGTAACTTGCTCGACAGGAACTGCCCGTGACAACCCCAAAACGGCCCTGACTCTCTCGTTGTCTTGTGCCGATTCCTTAACAAGAGCCGCCACCAACGAAGAATCTATTCCACCAGAATATGCAATGATGTGATGATGAGATCCATCCATCAGCGATCTTGTATAACGTAGCAACTCGTCCACTAAATTAGTAGCGTCAACCCTATCTTGCGAATACGCAGGAGGATTAGAGGAGTGGGAGACGACAACTCTAGGAGGAACATTCTGATCCACTACTGAGGCGGAGAAAAGTCGCCTCTTCGAAGTACCTTTGCTGTAAAGCTTGGCAATTGCCTTTCTCATATCGCTCCTTGATTGTTGCCTCAGCAATGTGTAATAGTTGGAACAAAATGATATGCGTTCCATTGGTGGAAAACTTGATGCAAAAGTGACGTGGCTGGGTCGTCTTGGTCAATAAAAGTAGCCCGGAAAACGAGAGGGGAGGAAAGAGCTAACGTATCCTATGCGGGGCATAATGTTGGAGAGAAGCCAAAACCCTTGACACATAGGTAGGTAAGCGAAACATATCAGTAGTATTTCGCCTGCACGTGCCAATCTAGATACTACTGTACTATACTGCTATTCTTGCCAGAAGTCGATAAAAAATTATCTCCACAAGCAGGTACAAAATCTCTCTTCCGGAAGCCATCTGCGCCAGCTCTTACCAGCTGTCACGGCGTATAAAGCACATACGCACATGTTCCCTCATGATACAGTCACAGATTCAGATGTACAGTACAAGTACCTTCAAGGCATCTCTTTGTCTATTTCAGTACGTACTCGAACCGTACTCCTGTCCGTGTTCGATTCCACGAATGTCCGACGTTTTTGTCCGACATATTCGACTGTTCTTTATCATCCCATTTCACCAAAATTCTGAACTATTTCGAAGTCTTCGACTTCAGAATTTTCAGATTCGTCACTCTGTTGAGCAGGTCGCTTTCCAACTGGAGTGACTGGAGTGTTAGTAGGACTCATCTATGAGCTTAGACGTTGATATGAGCAAGGACGTGTCAATCGTCAGGAACATAAGAGTGGTTACTTTAGGTGACTGACTCACTGGTCTGTGTTACGTATGACGGACACACGACTCTATCCTACTGTTTCAATGTATCTACTAAATCACCATCCTCTGCCAATTCCTTGCAGATATCCAATCCGCCAACTAGTTCTCCTTTGACATAAAGTTGAGGATATGTTGGCCAATTCGAGAACTCCTTGAGGCCTTGTCTAACTTCACTGTCTTCGAGAATATTGAAAGCGTCGTATGCAACTCCGGATTCGTCCAGTAGTCCGATCATTTGTCTCGAGAATCCACATTTCGGTGCAGATGGCAGACCCTTCATAAATATCTAACACGCATGATAAAACGAGAGCAATCAGAACAAAGAAGGGGATTAGTAATCAAACTAATGGTGAGAAATGCACAGAGAACAACAAACTGAAAGGAGAGCATATTCATTGCTATGCATCGGTTGGAATAGAGTATCAATCAATAAGATGAGCATCGTCATGGAGAAATCTCTCGGACTGGTGCCAGCATCTAAGTTTCGTCACACGCATGCCAAATGTTGCCCTCTTTCCCGTAAAACTTCTGTCACGTACCATAACATCAGATCGTTTAACCAAACTTGCAAGCCGGTCTTGAAGAGGAGTGATTACGGTAGCTGGACCAGTTACTCCCCATTGTTCTTTCAATGATCCCTCTTCTGCAGTCTCCTTCAAGACGTCCAACCCACCTACCAAATTTCCGTTCACGTATATTTGTGGGTACGTTGGCCAGTTGGAGTGTTTCTTGAGTCCTTGACGGACAGAATCATCTGACAGGATGTCAAAGCTCCCGAAAGGGACCTCGTGCTTTTGCAGCAGCTCCACAGCTTCGCGAGAAAAGCCACACTTTGGAGCAGATGGATCTCCTTTCATAAATAACATAACTGAATCTCGCTTGATCAGTGTATCCAACCGAGCAGCCAATTCTTTTTCTGGATCTTCGGGGAGAGGTCGAACAGCTGGTCCACTGCTGCTATCTTCAGCAGAGCCCAGTCCTTCGTTCGCAGAGAGCAAGCGCTGAACACCAATGGTAACATGGGAAGGATCGAATCCTCCTTCCATTCGTACAATGATATGGTCGGTAGTAGGACCACCATTCAATAGAATGATGGTAGGGACCATGGTGACTTGAAACTGTTCAGATAAATCCGAGTTTTCTTCTGCATCGATCTTTGCAAAGAAAACATCGGGTGCGGTTCCAGCCAAAGCAGAAAGGAGTGCTTCCAGCTGCGGGCACGCTTCGTGCCAGGAAGCACCAAAGAGCAAGACAGCTTTGGACTTGGTTCCTATATTCAGCGGAGAAGAAGAGACCTCCACAAGTGATGATGCTGATGAAGACTTACTCATAATGCATGTACCTATCTGATGCGGTAGGATGACTCATTCATATCGCAATACCTACAGGATGTGCTTCCTACACGAATATGAAACATAAAAACAAAGGAGTGGCTTCCCATTGAGTTGAGACTGCTGACCGACGGACACGGTTTTTAAAACTGACTCATTGGAATGAAAGCATAGTGACTAGTGACGCAACCCTTCTTAAACCTCTACCATAATTGCATGATACAAAGGAGAATATAAGAAGAACCATGACAGCTACAAGCGATACTACAGACTCTACAGAAACTGAGAACCATTCAGCTTACCAACAGCTGCCAATAGCGGATCTAGAGCAATCTGACGACGAAGATGATTCCATCGTACGAGCTCCCGATCACTTTTCAGCGCGGCGAACGACGCTTAACTTTGTTTTGATGAGCATCTTATTCAGTGCCAATCACGGTAGCGTCGTATCGTGCTTAGGCGTAGCCTCAAATCGCTTAGATCGAACCGGCGCAGCATCGAGCGGGATCTTGTTCCTTTCCTACACTGCATCATCCTTGTTGGGATCTACCTACGTAACAAAGCGAGCAGGTAGCCGCCAGGCACTCATATACGGGATGGGGCTTTACTGCGTCTACGTAGGTTGCTTTTGGTTGGCAACTCTAGCAACGACAGATGCCACTGTTAAATTATTTTGCTGGGGAGGCGCCGCTTTGGGAGGTGTGGGCGGGGGCTTACTCTGGAACAGTCAGGGCACTTACTTCGGAAAAGCGGCTGAAGAACATGCACGACAATTGAATCAGTCCATCGAAGTATCCACAGCATCCCTGGCTGGAATCTTTGCAACTATTTACTTGATTGAAGAGCTTGTTTTGCGGCTATTGTCCACGTTTCTGCTAGAATCAGGCGCTGCTTCTTGGGAGGACATTTTTGGTATCTACACCGCCGTGGCCCTACTTTCTGTAATCCCGATGCCCTTTCTTCGGGATTACCGCTCCACCGACGCGAGTGGCAATGAAAGCTTATCGTTGATTTTTGACAAAGTAACCATTGCAGGGAAACTGCTGGTGAGAGACCCGAAGATGAAATACATGGTGGGCTTGAATGCAGCCTTTGGTTTTACATCTGCATTTTTGGGATCATATGTAAATGGTGAAGTCTTACCAGTGGCACTCAGCGACGAAAGTGGGAAGATGATAGGGGTGCTAACAGGTTGGACAGCTTTTACGGCAGCTGGTTTTAGTTTACTTTTTGGAAGGCTCGCTCCCATTTTGGGCAAGGGGCCAATATTGATTGGGGGTGGAGTCTGCTTCATGATGGTTATACTTCCATTCCTGGTACAACCGGATGCACATAATTACAATTTGGCGTCTCTTTTGTTTGTGTATACGATGCAAGGTGAGTCCCATTCATTGTCACACAAAAATACATTCGTGACGTAGTGTTCTGATGAACCTCCATTCCATCGTTCAACCTTACCACGATTTTCGTTTCTATAAGGCATCGGCCGCGCGACATTCGAGGGCACTCTCAAGGCGACGTTTGCAGATTTCTTCGCCTATGAAAAGGAGGGGGCTTTCGGCAACATCATTCTACAGAATGGTCTGGCTGGGGCGATTGGTTACTTCTGTAAGAGATTACCGTATTGAAGTTCTTCGAGTTGTGAAGCGACTGACCTCTCACACTGATTCATTCTTCCTCGCTTTCTTCTATACGATGGGAAAATGGTGACTATAGTGACCTTCAATCTTCTCTGCGACGAACCGAGCAAGTATTGCATCAAGTACCGCGATGGAAGCCTCCATGATGTTTTGACGTTCGAATTGATCGTTTGCGTTTCGGCGATCGTTGGTATCCTCGGATACATTCGAGCGGCTTCCATCCATCGGTACGAACGAAATGCAGAACTTTCAAACTAATGGGTGCTTTCAAACTAGTTGGCGGTGGGGGCTGTACAAATAAGTGTAGCATGGTTAGGGCTTACTTCGTTTTATGCATCATGCGGTTGTACCATATCTTGAAATCATAGCGTTGACTTCTAAATCTGATTCAGTCATTTGCATGAACCTCAGTGGGGAGGTGGCGCATCTGCAAATCCAGTAGGAACAGAGGTGGTGGGAGGTCCAATCAGACCTACAATACCGGATTCACGTTGAGCAATGTTGGTTGGGGAAGTTCCTAGCATGCGAGTCTGGTTCAGCATAGCCTTATCAAGTTCGTTGATTCTAGACGCAAATGCGTCCACATATCCTTCAAGGATTCTTCGATCATCAGCACCAATGCCTGCCTCCATGAGGAGAGTTTCGACAAGAAGCCCGGCTGACCGGTAGCACGTTCTAGCAGCTTCGTTCTGTCCAAGTAGCTGCTTTACGGCGCCATCTCGGCCCGATGCCAATGCATGATTGTAGATCAATTCTTCAACACTTGTGGCAATTGCTGGTTGCTTATCCCCGGCATTCGATTGCATTTTTGATATCTCAGCATTTGCAGATTCAGCCCGCTCTAGAACTCCACAAAATTGACCTCGAAGCCAAGTAGACGTCACTTCGCAATGCCTCCTCAGTTTGGGAATGTCGTATTCACTTGGACTCCGGCCGCTTCGCGATGACAATGTTTCCAAGTCTTTGCTCACACGTTGTGTAGCTCCAACTGCCGATTTAAGCATCTTTAATGCTTTAAGATAGCAAGAGAGCGCTTCCCCCAAACGCAATCTAACGCTCTGACTTTCTGATCTGCCTCCTCCTTTGCGAAGCGAAACCATACTGCTTCCTTTGCTTTGGGTGGAGTGGTTCGACCTAGACGGGAGGGAAACAGCCGGTGCATCGGGGCTTATTGCGAATGGCATTTCTTCTTCCTCTGCAATTGCCATAACCTTGTCGGTTGATAACGAAGACCGTCTTCGAGAAACCGTCATGACTTCTCCAAAAGTAGACTCTTCTGAAATGGTGCCAGTTCCATCTTCTGCTTCCATTGGGGCTGTGGTATGGAGGGATGAATCGTCGTCCTCGTTTGAGCTCTTTGCGCGCATTCCGAGGTATGCTCGAGAATCACCAAGGTGTGCCACGCTCACTGCTCTACGCCCAACATCTTCGGAAGCAGCAATCATTTTGCTCACAGTTGCGATTTGATCTCCAAAGTTCGTATCATCTCCTGTTGTCTGGTCGTATCCAATCCTCTGCCTTCCATAAAGGCCCATCAGGAACCCACCAGTGCCAGGACTTGTGCTTAGCATACCCTTCGACGATTTTCTCTCCCCCATTCCTATTCGTGAGGACACTGCTTTCCCTAGTGACGTTGGCGAATTCAAGTAGTACATTGGTGAAGGCTGTGTGGGAAGAACATGCCCTCTTTGACCAATTAAATTCATTGAAACCCCATTTGGTTCTATCACATCCTTCCGAGAATCTACCCCAATCTCAACCATCACAAAACCACTATCATCTGAGCGTGACATATCATATTTTTCAGAAACTTCAGCTTCTTGTTGGTTTTGTGCCCAAGGATGCTGAGGTTGATCCACTGAAGGAACATAGACATTATTGTTGGAATGCACATTAATATGAATAGGGGATGGTGGGCTCTGCGTGAGTGGAGAAAACTTCTTTGCACTGTTTGGAATGGGTGCATGGTTTGTTGTTGTTGTGTCGACAATGTTTACAATGTTTGGACTTGCATCTTGCGAGGGCAATGCCGGAGATGCCACAACCCGAGCGGTATTTTCATTTTGGCTTGGTATCCCTTCCATGACCTGCTCTTGGTTTGTAGCAACAGCCATCACGCTTTCTGAGCATGTAATGTTCGCAGTCCCATCATCCTCCTGGATGGTGCCGAGGTCCTTCGAGACAACTCGGCGAGTTCCAGCACTCTGAATCTCCACGCCTCCGCACCCAATAGCAACAAAGTCGTCACAGCACTCAAAGAATTCTTTGAAACCAGCACGACTTAATGGATTTCGATTTAGTAGCAAACGAAGGAGCTTCACGCATGTGTTTGATATTTGAACATTTGGAGGTAATCGAACAGGCTTTGTCTGAATATTTCGCAGTAAATCAATATGATTATCACCATTGAAAGGAGGATGGCCAGCAATCATTTCAAATAAGACGGTTCCGACACTCCAAAGGTCTGCTTTTGCATCGTATCTGCAATTTTTGAATACAACGTGAGAATTCAAAGGAAAGAAATTTCATCCAGACGAAAAACTGACCTATGATGTTGTAAAATTTCTGGTGCCATGTAAAGAGGAGAGCCGCAAAGAGTTTCTGCCAACGACGCTGTTTGAAGGTGACGTGCAAATCCGAAATCTGCAATCTTTAACCGGAATTGATCGGATGGAAAGTTAATCTGCCACCGACGCTCTTCACTCTCTTTTGTCTTTTCGGGATCATCGTTCTCATCCAACGGTAGAGCTCCTGTCAACAGCAGATTCATTGGTTTAATATCTCTATGAATGAGCTCTTGCGACCATAGAAACCGCAGCCCTGAAGCCAAGTCACGCATCAAACGTCGAGTTAGCCGCTCTGTTAATCTTCCACTCTTCCTCGTCCGAATGAGTCCTTGCACGTCGCCACCACCGCAATACTCGAGAATTAAGAAAAAATGCTTCTCGGTTTTATGTGCTTCGTGCATGCAAACTATATTCGGGTGTTGGTAAGTCCGAAGGATTGATATCTCAACCTCAAGGTTCTGCAATACTTTCTTCGTCAGCTTTGTCGAAGTCCGTGATATGGCCTTGATGGCAACCACATCAGGATGCGATGGAGAGTCCATGCAATCCTCTTCGTTATTACTTGATGGTGCTAATACTGCGGACACTGCCGATGCTGGAACTCTTACGCCTTTATATACAGTAGCGAACGAACCCGAGCCTAATCGTTTTTCCAGTGCATACCCAGCGACGACTTTTAACTTTCCTTGTTGTTGGTTCTGCATTGCAATTTCTGAAATATGGCACCGCTCAGTGTATGTGTACGGGTAATAGGGAAGAGACTTGTGCCTTGTATAGCGACAGTGAATTATTTGCGCTTGCTTTGTTGTGATGTGGGAGATGATTCAACCTTGCTTCGACCTTGCTTCAACCTTGCTTCGACCTTGCTTCGACCTTGCTGGGTTCGATTGTGACGGACACGTTTCAAAGAATTCCTGACTTGACCTTGAAACCGAGTTCTTCTGCAATCGCGTGTCACCCAATCAGAAGAATCCATCAATCACATCACCTTGAACCTGCCTGCTGACAGTCTCCAGTGCCCCCTTTGTATGCTCCCCCATATCACCCCCAAATCGAAGAAACGAATGATTCATTCCAATCAAATTGAAAATAGTGTTGGTGCTGGTACGAAACGCAAACGAAATGACAACAGACAAGATTGGCCAATTCAAAGTCTGTTCCTGTTTACCAACCATTGTGACTTGGATACCATGACCATATCACCTGAGGACCTCAAGCACTGTCAAAACGTCGTTAAGGCGCTGCGGAAAGAAAAAAATAACTACGTATTCTTGGAACCTTTTGATCTTACAGTTGTCCCCGGGTACACTGATGTTGTGAAGAAAGTGATGGACTTGACAACTCTGTCTCAAAATCTAGAAGGTGGAGAATACCAAGATCGTGATGCTTTTGCTAGGGACTGCTACCTGATATATGAGAACGCAATTGCATACCATAGTACTCGTGAAACTGCTTGGATTGCCAACATGGCAAAATCCATGCTTCGGATCGCAAGAAACAGATTCAACAATGTCGAAAAGAAGAAAGATTCGTCAGGAAAGAACAAAAAACTACTACCCACCAAGAAGAATAAGAAGGTTATATCTGAAACCACCACGAAGCGTGACTCTGTTGGTGCAAAATTGAAATTAAAAATTGGTTCCCTAGCGGATGCAACTCCGAAACCAAAGGTCTCAATCAAACTGAAAACTTCACCGCAAGGTAAAAAGATTCAAGCACCTGATGCTTCAAAGGAGGAAAAGAAGGCGAAGAAGCCAAGATTGACATTGAAATTAGGCAAGCCCAAAACAAGTGAGTCTGCGGACTCGGTTCCTTCACCAAAGCCAGCAAAATCAAACAGCAATTCTGGGACAACTAAACCCACCCCGACGGTTGTTGGAAACTCAAGGGGCAAAGAACTTCCAAAGGCTGTAGCAGTGGCGAAAGCAGAAGCGGCAAAGAAAACCAGCAAGAAAAGTTCAACGAAAAGAAAAGGAAGCGACAATGCGACTACCAAGACGAAGAAGATCAAGCTATCGACCGGTGGATCACAAGGATCTTCTCGAGGTACAGGTATGAGTGTGGTTCGGAAAGCACAATGTATTAAGGTATTAAATGGCTTAAAGCGGCGACAACAACAGAACGTTGCCGTCTTTCTACAACCAGTCTCTGACAAGAACATCATCAAGGATTACAAAAGCAAAATTCAAAACCCCATGGACCTTGGAACCATGCAATCAAAATTGGATCGGAATGAATATCAGACACCCTCAGCTTTTGTGTTGGACCTACGACGCATATTTGCTAATTGTCTCATTTACAATAGCGAAGTATCAACATTCCGACGTGTGGCAGTGGACGTCTTGGCGACTGCAGAGCAACTCATAACTTTTTTTTTGGCTCAACCAGAATACCCAACAGTTGTATATCCCCCCCTCCTATTCTGCTGGAAGCTCTGCCTCAGCGTGCTTGATACATTGTACAATTTGACCAACCCTCAGGATGGCGCCCCAACTGCTCATTTTTTTATGTACCCAGTTTCTTTCTACTGCGGTGGCCAGTTCCCTCCAAACTATTTGACGAAGGTGACAAAGCCTATGGATTTTGGCACAGTAACAAAGCAGCTGCTGGAAGGTCAGTATGTTTCCGTTGACCAATTCGAAGCGGACTGTCGGCTTGTACTTGACAACTGTACTGTCTACTACGGTGGAAGAGAGGATGGGGTAGTATTCACTGAACAAGCAAGTCGACTGCGTGCGGTTCTTCAGCAGCAAATGACGGCCTTAAAGAAGTATATCAAATCGCCGCCAGGTGAAGCTCTTCGCCGAGCAGCACAAAATGCTGTAAACACGGTCAGTCTGCCGAAGCCACAGATTCACTTGCTCCTCGGGATCATTGAGGACATGCGAGCTTCGAAGTACACCGACAAAGCAACCAAGGTAAGATCAGCGTTAAATGATTCCGAAGTCTGCACCATTATGCTCATCTATTAGTGCAGATTACAGAACCAGCCATGGCTCAATTCGAGAAGCCAGTCTCGCTGTCTGCTTTCCCGGATTATGTACAGAAGGTGAAAACTCCAATAGATCTCCAAACGGTAGAGCGCAAAGTGAAAAGCGCTACGTACAATACTCCCGAGGACTTTGAATACGACATGCTATTGATATTCCAGAACTGTATCTTGTATAACAGCAGCCGTAACGTAGATCACTTCGTCTCCTTGGGCAAATACGGCATAAAACAGTTCAAGCGTATCTTCGCTGCGAAGATAAAGATCGTCGATGATCCATCGTTTGCCCCCCCCCTTAAGGAGTTAAAAGATCCTCCCGTGACAGGAGGTGCATCGAAAAAAGTCAATATCGATGTGGCGCCGGCAAAAGCGGCTCCACGGATTTCCCTGTCTTCTGCACAACTAACATCGGCTGCTGAGAAAAGCGCACAGCGACCAAAATCTTCAAAATCAAAGACCAAGGCGAACCAACCGGTTCCTTTGCACATTGCAATATCTCAAGTAAAAGAGAAATTCCCCCTGAGACGCGCAGTAAAGAGTCTGCAGTCATGGGAGGCAGGATGTGCGCGCTTTTTTAAAGGTAAGAACACAGAGCAAGTGGTTGTACTTTTGAAGAAATGTCTCATCGAAATGCTTTAACAGAATTGATGCGACACACTTGGATTTCTGCTGCACGACCGAAGTTCATCTTCCATGTCCCAGTCCCAGTCCTATTCCCTGTAAGTGTTTCGCTTTGCAGCCGCATTGAACTGTTTCGAGCCGATCACTGCTCACGTATCTCCAATATCTTCCACGTTAGCAATTGAGAGATGCCTATTTTGCGAAAATAAAGAAACCTATGGATCTTACAACCGTCGAGTGCACTTTGTTGGCTGGACATCAATACACTTCCCCAGAAGAGTTTATCAATGATGTTGCTCTTGTATTCGCAAATGCTATTCGTTTCAACAAAGATGGTCGAGACATAGGAGACCCGCTATCATGCGCGTACTATGATGCTTCAAAGCATCTCTTGCGTTATTGTAGATGGCTTTCTCTTGAGCTTCTTTCGGAATATGTGCAAGATAGCGATCACGTGGACGAAGCTGAAGAAGGGGACCTGCCAGTATTTTCCTGGAAGTTGACAACCGGAAACGCAAAGAGATCTCGTGAAGAAATGGAAGCAATCGTTTTAAACGAGGTGATTGAGAAGAGCCTTGAAGGCGATAGATACACATGGATGGAAGCGGAATGCGAAAAGCTGATGAAAGCACTTCGCCACCAATCAGACTACAAGAACATGAGGTACTTCATCCAGTCCGATTATCCACCAGATTACACAGCATCAATTTCAAAACCTATGGATTGGGAACGTTGCCAAAAGACGTTGAAAAAGCGTCAATATGATAAATTCAGCAACGTTATCGATGATCTGCGTCTTATCTTCTCCAACGCGAAGAAATACAATGGGCCCCGGATGGATCAACCTGTTTCAAGAGAGTGTTATGACGCCGCATCAGTCATGCATAAGAAACTGGAGGGTGCTATCAACAAAATGATGTTAACTGTCAGCGATCGTGTCGAGAGAGAACGCATAGATCACAACAATGCTGAAAGGGAAATTGAGGCCGCAGAACGAGCTGAGAAGGAGCGTATTCGTGCTCAATGGGACAGCAGCGAAGGGGCGAGAAGTGGGGAAGGTGGATCATCTGATCAGTCGTTTTCAGTTTCTGCTCAACGGATCCGATCAAGGTCTAGAGCTGTCATCCGGCGAGAAACAGATTTTGAAGTTCCTTTCTTCGACGACGAGGACGACGGCCAACACGAGCGGTCATATCTTGAGGTTGTGAAGCAACAGAAAGCGATGTTTGAACGACAACGGAAGGATTTATCAAACATGCAAAGGTCTGTAGCGAGTGCTGGATCATCCGTCTTTTTGCGCATGATGCAAAGAGATCTCGCATTGAAATGGATGGATGGAGAAAGGAAGAAACTTGGGATACAGAATCCGGCATCAGGGTTTGCACGTATTATGATGGCCAGTACTCCTGACAAATCCAAAGCACCCTCAACACAGGGTTCAGCTCCAGACAGTGTTCGCTCTCAATTGGAATCCTGGAAATCAAGCGGAATTGGCCCTCTGAAGGTCAAGAAGCGCAAGACGCGAAAGAAGAAGCGAAATCAATTGGCAATCGGGTTTGAAGAAGAAGAAAGTGACTGACGATCAGATGAAGTACCAAGAACTGTTCGTACCCTTGTACAGTTTCAATAGTTCTGTAGTAATTCTAGTAATAGCTATTTAGTCGGCTAGCAATAGATTCGGAGTCACATGAGATATCAGATCCACGAATCAGCGCAGCACGACGAAAAGTTACATCTGCGCACCTGTCGGACTCCGCGACCGACAGTACGACCAGGCATGCGCAGCTACGAGCCGCTGAGTAGGAAATCACGCGTGAGTTCTCTTGCCGGTACTGTTGCACAATTTTTAGTCAGAGCCTAGACTTTTTGTTCGTGAGACAGCTTTTGTCAACACAAAATCAAACAAAACAACTGGAAAAAGTGCACCTTGGAGACGCAGGATGCAAATATAGTTCATTCGCCACAGAAATCGATTCAATAAAAGCAACAGCATTTTCTGCATAACTTATCAGCTTCACCATGGACGAGTCTTTGAGCAAACAACAGAATAGCAAACAAGAGGATGAAAATGATAGTAAGCCACGAGCTGCTTCAATGCAGCCAGAACCTTCAAAACCCGAATTTCGGTGAGTCTTACGGAAGAGTGCCAGTGGGTGTTTTCAGCGTGCGGATGATGGTTTCATTGTTTGGAACAACCAAAAAGCGCCATTGCCGAGCTGCAATTTCCACTGAAACTCAGCACGACTTAATTGTCTGTATGTGGGTCGTGTCGCACTCAGCATGTGCAGAACCTACAGGACTGCCAAATCTAAAAACTCGATAATTTGGACAACTTGGTCTTCCGATTCTTTGTTTGATCTTTTCCTCATGAACCTTTCTTTCCTTTCTTTAGCTCGGTTTCCATGAGTGTTGCACGTCCTATGAGTGTTGCCGGACCGGTAACAAGAAACCCCGATGTGATCGACAAAGAATCTTACTTCAACCTTACTTTTTCGAAACCGCAAGCCAAGAAATCAGAATCTGCTCAAGAAATCGGCGAGGATGTGCAATCAAACTGGGCCCCAAGAGGACTGCGCCCGGTTCCCGCCTTTTATCCACTTGAACGGTCAAGTAGGGTTGTAGACGATGAGCTTGCTGAAATCGTCGCTAGGGTTTCTGAGGCAAATCGGGTTCTTAGCATTCACGCTATCTACTGCAACGAAACGGCCACGGCATCCTTGACGACTGCAGAGAACCTTGAGATGCAGCTCTCTTTGTGGAAAACTTCAGGCGGCATTGCTGTAGAACTTCAGCGCAGAAACGGAGATTCGATTGCGTTTCATCGATACTGTGGCTACCTTTTGGATGCGGTGGTTGGGGACTTTGATCCAACGGAACATGCCGAAAATCATGGGGAACATTTGGATGTCATTTATTCAAAGAAGATACAACGATTGCTCAGCCTAGAACACGGAAAAGAGGCAGCGACAGAAGTGGAGAATGCAATTATTGCGATTGAAATTGCTCACGGATTGTTGATGAAAGACCGCATGGATGCTAGACAGCTCGGGCTTGAGTCACTCTGCTTGCTCACTGATCCAAACAAAAGTGGAGACACTACTGCATTGATTGCGAGCAACGTTGTTCTACTTGGGTCTGCTCAAGATCTTGGCTTGGAGTTCCAAGCGGATGACATGATATTTGACGAAGGGCCTTTCCAAGAGATTCGTCAGACGATTCTATCTCTCATTCAACTGAGACGAATTGGCGACGCTGATGAGTTTGATGGGGCACTTACTGAAGAGGAAGAGCATATTACCATATTGCACAACCTGGCGCTAGCTGTTCTAGCCAACGCACTCGATGTGATCGAGAATGAAGAAGCGGACGAAGAATTGACATCAAAGCCCCGTGCCCGAACTTGTTCTGAAACAATCTGTGAGAATTTTCTAAGTGATGCGACAGAGGTATCTGGAGACAACGAAATCATCAAGACCCTAATTACCGAGCTTGGGAAGGCAGGAGACAAGCCCCACAATGCCTGTTTGTCTGCTAAATGCATAGGTTCTCTATGCAGGGCTTCAGACAAGGCACGTCGACGGGCCAAAGAACTCGGAGCAAAAACTGTTGTTCAGACTGCATTAGAAGTTGGAACTCGTACTCATCTTAAGCTTGAAAAGGAATGTGAGAAGGTAATCACCACTCTCAATTCTCCTCGCAATGACGAATAGGCTTTGTTAGACGGCTCTATATTATAATTAGTATTATAATTGTACTCTCTGTATCATTCCAAGTACTCATACCGTACGAGATGAACCTTGAACATTTGGACGCTTTCTTCATAAACAGTTCGTACTGTACCGACCACACGTTTCAATCCTTGTCTTATTACGGCTGGCGTTTTCGGAACTGAAACTAACGACTCGAAATAGTCGTTGAAAATTTGGTTGTGTTACAGTAGGCGCCAGCATTGGAAAAAGTGTTCCTCTGAACTACAAAGAGAAGATCCCGGCGCCTCCAGCCTTTGCTTTGCCACCTCATGAATCGCTGTTCCATAGTGAGCTCCTTGAGACGAAGTAGCTAACAAACTCCACGGATTTGAAACTGAGTTTCAAAATGGGGTTTCTCAAGAAAATCTTCACGAAAAAGAAGAAAAGGGAGGACAAAAGTGCAGGTCGCAGTACAAAAGCTAATGGGATAGGTTCGAATACCCACACTCTTGTTTCTTCTAAAGTTCCACATTCCCGCATTTCGCCGCCACTTCAGCATTCAACCATTCGCGACGAACAAAATGTAGACGCAGAATTAGAACCTGGCCGCATTGTTCTAAGAAATAAAGCGTACAGTGGAAATTCGACAGTTCAAAACAGACTAACGAATGGCCGAATACCTACTGACGAGAATCACAGCCATTCAAATGCAGGAGCTGTACAGCTAGATATACATAATATGCAGCAACTTGAGAGACAACGCAAGAATATAAATCACCGCCCAGTTCACCAACCTGTGTTCAGGATGTCCACGGAAATTCCGAGTCAGCAAATGAACGCAATGGATGAAATGCTCTCTCATGGATCCTCTTCGTCGTTCAATCTTTCAACTGATGCAGAAGACTCAGAATACGAAAACATGAGAAGTCGTGGTGTTCTCCCTGGGACCGTAACCAACTTGTCTTCACTAGATATGTCGATGTCCATATCAGCAGCTTCCAATCCAACTTCAAATACTGGTACTGATCAAGAAACGGTTTTCGCTGCTCTAGACGATATGACCATGCCATCGGTAACGACAGGGTCAAAGGAACACTCGCGAACATCAGCACTTGATCCAGCGCGAAGCCAGCAAGAAGAAATGGCAAGAAAATTAGGCCTCATGCCACCGCCACCACCTCCTGCTTCCAGGCTCTCTACCCCTGAAGATGAACCAGGATATATTCCTTCGCCTAGCACAAATGACCGAGACTTCGACAATTGGGCGTTGAGTCCAAGCACCGAAGCTTCGTCCGATCCAGCAAGCATCAAAGGTATCGATTCCAATCCAACTTCCTGGGCAATAAGCCCCAGCACCGCAGCGTCTAACGACCCCCTTAGCGCGAAGAGCGCTGGATTAAATCAGTACTTTGGCTTTGATGAGAAGTCTATGAATATTTCTCGTACGATGATAGAGCACAAAGCACAGCGGTCCAACAAGATGACCAGCCACAACTTTCCTAGAACAACAACGCGGAAATTTACATCGCCGCAACCGCAGGCATCGGGTAGTAGTGTTTTCAGTGACGGCTTTGCAGACTTTGCAGACTTTGAAAGTTTCAATGGATGGGGAAAAGAAACGAAAAACTCTACAACTTCAACCAGCTTTCGTGGAGACTTTGATAGAAGTTTTGAAAACGTTAGGCCAACAAGCTCAACCAACCAGCAGCAGCGAAGCGCAAGCGTTTCGTCTCAAGGTCAAACAGAGAGGTCATTATCAGAACTCTTGGCTCTGGCGAAGAGCAAAGACCGCAATAATGGTCCATCGCCAAACACAGCTAATCGATCAAGGAGAACGACAGTAGCTTCAGGGTCGAATTCATCTGTCAACTCTGCACCAGGATACTCCGCTTTGTACCTTAGTCAGTTTCACAACGTAGGAAAATACAATAAAGGCGGGTATGAACGAGACGGGATGAAACCAAGCTCACCACGAGTCGCAAATGACGAGACGTCAGTATCAGATATTATAGAAAGTCTTGAAGTATCGAACCAAATGAGACGAGGCAGCGGAAAATTGAACTCCAACATGTCAGTCGGAGATGCAAGCTCGTCCTCAATTTCTCGGCTGGCTCGAGAGCGATTACGGGAAAAGAGAAGAAAAGAGTACGAAAATAGTGGTGTGCGATCTTCTGACGAGTCAGATGTCTCTGATAACGGGGCCGAATCTTGGCTTTTTGATGGTGTCGCTGGAGCACTTGGACCACGAGGCATTGCTGCCGATCTGGAGTCCTTGAGTGGAAGATCTAGTCGGTCGAAGAATTCACAAGGGAACAGATCACATCGATCCCGTCACTCTAGATCACGAAACTCGACTGCACGAAAGCCGAGGACATCAAATGAAAGTACCAGTAGTCGCGAGAGTCGACACAGCCGTGGAAGCCGCTACTCCCATCGCTCGACGCGGTCATTCATTTCCCAAATGAGCGAACAAAGCAGGAGCGTTGCGAATGATTTGCTTCGCCTTGAAATGCAGCTTGCTATGGTCGGTCAAGAAAATAGAGATGACATTCCAGTACTCGGAATTGGTAGTTCTACTGTAGGAAGAACAGCTAAAGGTGGCTCGACAGCACGGGATCGTTCGAGAGGCAAGTCGTATTCTTCATCACAACGCACGAAATCGTCTTCAAAGAGGAGCAAAGTTACAGTTATTGCCCCGCCCGGAAAACTTGGAATCATTTTGGCTAATAAGGCAGATGCACAAGGTACTGTTGTTTCTGGAGTCAGATCATCGAGTGCCTTGGTGGATAAGATATCTCCTGGCGATCGAATCATCGCTATCGATGGCGAAGACGTTAGCCGCATTACCGTTTCGGAGATCACTGTGATTATGTCACGAAAAGCAGAATATGAACGGAATCTGACTGTGTTGACGCTAAACAAGTCCAATGATTCTCGGCGGCATCCTGATGATGATGCGACTCCTGTGAAAGATCCCCACCGTCATGAACAGGACCACCACCTTTCCTCACAAGAGGACCGAAGTGAGCACTACAGACGGTAATATTTCTTCTAGGAGATTAGAGTAGAATCGAGGCGCTTCAGCTTCTTAGATATCTCTGATGGAAGGTACCAGGTACCAGGTACGATTCAGGCGTAATGTTCTTGGGAGTGAAAATTTACTTGCCATAGAGTGTACGTTCACGTACTTTCAACTTCTCTACTGTGGTAATACCGTCGATCTATGTGTACGCATTATGTTACTCGTATAACATGGTACACTATGTACTCATGTCGCACCTTTCTAGCCAGCTGCACATTTCCAGCCAATCAAAATGCTCACCCAAACCGAACAAACTGGAAACACATCAAAGAGGAAAATCGAACAAGACAAAATACCAGTGAACTTTCCTTCTACAATATCTCTACATAAGAGCAAGCAATCAAGCAGCTGTTACAGCATACTATGTAAACCATATTCATAAAACTAATGCAACTGTTATACTAGATTTGACTGGAAGATTTTCGTTCTCTAGCCGTGAAAAAACGTGCAGGCTTCCGACCAGCAATCCCATGCTGATACTCCCGCCAGAGTTCGTTTAACGACCTGGGATTGCCCGATAGAATAGCCATGTTCGCAACTACGATGGGACTAACATCTTCATTTGCTCCGCTTGCTGGAAGTGGTAGAGTAGTAGTCTGCGGCCAGTATTTGCTTGTTGGAGTTGGATTCGCAAGCCACCTTCAATTGTTTCGCCAAAAGCACGAATGTTGTTGTTTAGAATTCGATCACGATGCCGGATGTAGGCTCTCAAATCTGAAACATTTGTATGAGATCGAGGAGCAACGTTACTAAATTGTTGTTGCAGTTGCTGGATACTTATCTGGATGCTTTGGAACAAGTCTCCTAAGTTGAGTTCTCTACCACCACGCCTCCACCAGCACCAGCGCCCCCATCACCGTCTATAATAATAGCCTCATCAATCGTCAACTGGTCGCCCCTCCTTTTTTGGTTGGTTGTTGTATATCAGGCAGCAATGTATGGGCGGCACTGTGGATTTTCTGATGGCATACCAATGCCAAGTAGCCTAGTCTTCTGGTGGTGCAAAGCGCCTCCTTCCAGCGCCGGAATGGTCGTTATTGGCGGCTGCTTCCTCCATCACGACGCCACTGTCCATATTTGCTTGTTCTTCTGCAGTTGTTTGACCCTGCATCTCTCAAAGACGAAGGATCGAGAAAGTGTAATTTTTGTTTTGTGGATAATAATACTGTCTTGTGATGGAATATACTGTCAGAAAGTTACTAGAATATTTAAGGCGAAAAGTAACTTTTTTGTTTGAGCGATGGATATCCTGCCTGAAAATTACTTATGGTACGACACGAATATTTATGGCAACGAGTAACATTTCTGTTTGAAAATGTTGCGTGGCATGTTACAAAGCGAGCAACGGTACCGTCAAAAATACTGCCAAAAAGGCATAAGTAGCAGTGCGTTTGACACAGATGACTCGAAATTCATATGTATTTTGAGCAACGGTACCGTATTTATGTTACTTTCGTAACATTCCACATATAATGTACCAGTACCATAGCTAGCTAGATCTTATTGTAAGTTTTGTCCGTGAAAATAAACGCCGGGGCGCGAGCCTGCTTTCTTAGCGAGAAATGGGCACCGGTTCATGTACCAGGCAGGTACAAGTACTGGTACCGCTATGTGTTCCGTGCCGGCGGTATTGGTACCACAGAGATCGATACTGTATGGATGGCAGAAGCTCCGGCGGCAACTGCTGCTCATTCTCCAAAAAAAGTAAGATCCGATAGAGGAACACGATTTGCTTGCTGTGCTTGGAAACACCAGGATCACAGGTTTCTCACAAATTTTGCTTGATGTTTGTAGTCTGATTTGACAATTCTAAATTACATCATGAACGTTGAGGAGAAAGAGTCGGATTACGGATTCATTTTCAAGGTCTCTGGACCACTTGTCGTTGCTGACGGAATGAGTGGATCTGCCATGTATGAGCTCGTCCGTGTGGGACACTCCAAGCTAGTCGGGGAGATTATCAAGCTCGAGGGCGATACCGCTTCGATTCAGGTGTACGAAGATACCTCCGGTCTAACAGTTGGAGATCCAGTTCTTCGTAAGAAGCAACCACTGTCTGTTGAACTAGGTCCCGGTATTATGGGCACAATTTTCGATGGTATTCAGCGTCCTTTGGAAGCTATCTGGAGAGATACTGGCGACGTCTACGTTCCAAAGGGTGTGGATGTTCCTTGTTTGTCTCGCGATGTTCGATGGACTTTCACCCCTGGTGATTTCAAGGAGGGGCAACCAATCACTGGTGGAGACGTCATTGGTATTGTCTACGAGAACGAAATCATTGATTCCCACAAGATTCTTTGTCCTCCAAACGTGTATGGAGTCGTAAGCAAGATTAACACAGCAGGAACCGATGGACAAGAAACTTTCCTTGTTGATGATATTGTCATGGAAGTGTACAACGAAGCACAAGACAGGACCCACAAGCTTTCGTTGAGTCATTTCTGGCCCGTGCGACGTCCCCGTCCCATCGCCGAAAAGTTGCCTGGTAATGTTCCTCTCATTACTGGTCTTCGTGTCATTGATGGCCTTTTCCCCTCCGTGCTTGGTGGTACATGTGCCGTTCCTGGTGCTTTTGGCTGTGGAAAAACTGTCATCAGTCAATCCTTGTCCAAATTTTCTAACTCTGACTGCATTGTGTATGTTGGTTGCGGTGAACGTGGTAACGAGATGGCCGAAGTGTTGTGTGATTTCCCTGAACTGACCATGACAATCAAGGATGATGCTGGCGAAGAAAAAGAAGTTGGAATCATGAAGCGTACAACTCTTGTTGCCAACACATCGAACATGCCAGTCGCTGCACGTGAGGCATCCATTTACACTGGTATTACATTGGCTGAGTACTTCCGTGATCAAGGCATGAACGTTTCCATGATGGCTGACTCTACCTCTCGATGGGCAGAGGCCCTTCGTGAGATTTCTGGTCGCCTTGGAGAGATGCCTGCCGATTCCGGTTACCCAGCCTACCTTGGTGCCCGTCTTGCGGCCTTCTACGAACGTGCAGGGCGCGTTGCATGTTTGGGATCCCCTACCCGTGAGGGAACCGTGTCGGTTGTGGGAGCTGTGTCTCCTCCAGGTGGCGATTTCTCTGATCCAGTTACTGCTGCTACACTTTCTATTGTTCAAGTGTTTTGGGGACTGGACAAGAAGTTGGCCCAAAGAAAGCACTTTCCATCTCTCAACTGGCTCATTTCTTACACCAAGTACATGCAAGTTCTTGAGCCATATTTTAATGGTATGGATGAACAGTATTCTTACCTTCGAAACCAAGCTCGAACCATTCTTCAACAAGAAGATAACCTTTCGGAAATTGTACAACTAGTCGGAAAGGAGTCTTTGTCTGAAGATCAAAAGGTCGTTATGGAAGTTGCGAAGCTTATCCGTGAGGATTTCCTTGCTCAAAATGCCTTCACCGAACATGACTACACTTGTCCATTGGCAAAGACTGTTGGCATGCTGAAGGTTATCATCAACTTTTATGACTTGTGCCAAAAGGCGATTGCCGACTCTCCATCTGATGCCAAGTTGACCTATGCTCACATTAAGACAGCGATGGCGCCAATCATTCAAAAGGTTGTTGATACCAAGTATGTCGATCCTAAGGCCAAAGCCGCAGAAATCGAGAAGGGTTATAGTGAAGTCATCGATGAAATGAATCGCGAGTTCCAAACTTTGACCGATGGTATCTAAATTTTACTTTAAAAGCTGAAGTGTCCTGTTGTTTCTCCCTCGGACAGAACTCATTCGATTTCTATCGATTCGTAAAATTACAACACTTCCTACCGGTACAGTAGCAACAGAATTTTCTTTGAAAAGATCGTTATCTAAAAAAGCAGCGACAAATTGTTGGACGAGTCGGCTGAGTCGATCGATGATTCTTGCAGAGATGCGTTTGCCCAAGATACTACCGGTATGGACTTTTATGGTGCCACATCACATTGATAATCGAAACCAAAGCAGAAGAAGGTTCAATGCAGGCCTTTAGAATAAAAAACCTCATCGTAACTGCCCTGATGGTGCTACTTCTTGAATGCCATGCAATGAAAGCACCAGAATGGCGACAGATAAAAAAGCTACAAAGCGAAGTGCCAAAGAAACGAGAAACAGGTCTTTTTTTGCGGATACGGCGCTCTCTGAGAACAGGCATTGTTGCACCAGGACCAAGATACTTTCATCAAGTGCTGTACTGGGCAACGGCAGCTGACGCACTTCAATTTGTTATCTTGAACGAATACTCAAACTTTCTCAACCTTGCCAGCGCAAGGACAAAATCATCAATGTACTCCAAATTATTTGTTTTCGCAAGGCTCCGACCAAGGCTACTTTTCTCAGTCGGCGCCCTTCTTAGAGCATTACAGCTATGCACTCCATTCCAAAAGGTTATCGACCCATCCATTGGGTAAGTTCATTATTATTGGATTCACGTTGGTTCGTTTGCAAACACATTCTTCATTCAAGTTCACTCAACACATGCAATGACGATTGAACAATAACTCCAGCGTCGGGGCCGGAGTGAACCTCTGCGCGGTTTTGGCGGTAAGTGGTAAGCGACAGTTGGCAAACCCGTACTGTCGACTGATGAATTTCGCTTGTCACATGGATCCGTAGGGCAGCCGTTGGGTAAAACCAGTAGTATTGTAAGTATCAACGATGATTCGGAAAGTAGGACCCATACTATGGTGATTGACAAATTTTAAACTATCATACGACTCTGCAGGGGCTGGGCAACTACGAAGGCAATATGGGTTTGGCTTGGAGCTCGGCAGATGGATCGAGCGTTTCTACCGATTACGCTCTCTATTCATGAGTGGGAAGATCGTCAAAAGAGACGGCGAAAAGGAGGCAAAGACGATACTTATCATCTTGGTGGTGTGTGAATTCGGCGGCACAAAAGACAGCTTCCCATCATGGTTCATTTTCACACCACACTTCCACGAATCTGTGATGGAAAGCTATTGGAACACAATGTACTCTTATACTACACGACGCCAAAAGCAAAATATCATGGTTCATGATACTACTTTACACATTCATGCACGATACATGTACCAATAATAATATAGAAGATTCCTCAAGCAGCCAATCTTCATGAACTTTCAATTGCTGCATGTTTACTCTTTCTTTCCGCCCCAGTGTCCGAAGGAGAGTCCAAAGGGTGCCATGACACAGAGCGCACCTCCCACAATATTTCCTAGAGTTACCGGAATGAGATTCTTCAAGAACATCTGCTTGACGGTGATTTCAGCTCCCCGAAGGATACCAAGTGGAATAATGAACATGTTGGCAATACTTTGATGTTAAAGAGAGAGAGAAAGTTAGGTCGTGTATCACCACGACAACGTCACATCGAGTGAAGTTACCTGTGGTCCAAACCAAGTGCAACAAAGGCCGAGATAGGGAACCAAACAGCAGTCATCTTCCCAATCATAGTCGAGCATCCAGATGCCATGTAAACAGCCATACACACAAGCCAATTGCAGAGGATTCCACGAACAAACGCAACGTCCCATGGCAAGTTGGACTTGGCAGTGGCAATAGCAACAGAAGCGGGCCCACTAGCAAGAGTGCCACTCTTGAATGCAAGATATGCCAGCAAGAGAGATCCGACGAAGTTGCCAATGTAGGAAATGACCCAGCTCTTAATCAAATCCTTCAATTCTATCTCCCCCTCTTTGTACGCAGCTGTTACTCTAATTATTTGGTATGGTGTACCCAATGAAAAAAAGTATTGTCAGATAAACGATGAAATTGGGCTGTATTGTTGAAACATGAAATGAATGCAAACCACTTACAATGCCGTGTTGCCGGTAAAGAGTTCGCCTCCAGTGACAAGGGTCATGATCAAGCCGAACGGGAGACCAAAGGCCCCTAGAATCATCTTCTGCAATCCAGGGTTCTGTGCAGCTCTTCGCAAAACAAGAATTTGGCGGTATGGTTGGAAACGAAAGGAAACAAAGAAATTGGGGATCGTCGATATAACCAAAAGCACTTACAGTCCCGGGCAGGCTCCTCCAACAGTGATGGCAAGGTACGCCCCAAATGCAATGTGACAACCGCTCACAACTCCAAGCTTGAAAATTTTCCCCGGGGCGGACTTTCCTTTGGCTGCTCCAGCAGCGACGGCTCCTTGGTAAAGAGCAGCTGGTGCCTTCAAATCTGGTACAGGAGCTCCTCCATTACTCATCTTGATGGCAGCCGATACAGGGTGGGGTTGCTTAATTGCAAAAGCAGAGCTGGACGCTGCCAACAGACAGAGCAGCAGAGGCTTCAGAGCAAACATGATTGTATTGACTTGCAGATGAATTTGTGGTGTTTGATGTCATCTAGTAGATCCGAAAAAGATCCCAACTTTCGAACTTCTGCCACTCCCACTCGCCTTTTTCGCGCGAAGTTGTCATCAAAACTCCGGAAGAAATATCAAACCTCCTAAAAGGCAGGTCATCAACCGAAGCTTCACGCTCAGGAGTGTATTTTTACTGTTTGGTCTCAAGGTAAAAAATGAAGTAATAGCATAGTAGTGATGATCATGTTTTGCTTTTTTATTTCTGCAAAAAATTCTCCGGCAAATAAATCGAGCTCATACAGTAGCCTTTGAGATACGAACTTTCTAATGGGCTACCATCGCTGTGACTTCGGTATTCGAGGAGACATTCTTCTGGACTCCTTTTTGTGTGTGTTTTGATTCCTCGTTGCAAGAGGGCAATTCATTCGTCGACTTTCTGCCTCCTTTGCAAGACTAGGAGGGGCTCTACTGTCAGTTCTCAAAGTTTCATGCGAAATGTCTAGACTTGGATCTTCTAACCAGGACTGCAGAGCTTTTATCACTTCCATCTTCTCTGCATCGCTTAGATTCATATCTTCAATGCTGTTTAGAAATTTGTCAAGACTTTCGAGCTCTAGTTGCAGCCTTGTAGCGAGGAACGGGATGATAGATTTGATAGTTGCGCTGCTGTCATTCGCAACATCAATCTTTTGCTGTAGACACTCCCGAACACGCATTACCACGTCCAGCTGTTCTGGTCGAATGGGTGGGTCATATTGCGGGTTCGTTGCCATTTCATTTTGAATGTGCTGCAGCAACCCTGGTAGACGAATTTGTGTGGAAACGGTAGCATTTGAGTTGGAGGTCGCTTTATCGTCTTCATTGCTCTCTATCGAACCTGCCTTCCAAAAGTTATCAACTCCAGCGGCGAAGTCTTTTCGAATTTGCTTTGCTTTTTGGATCTTGGTGTTGATCCCAATCATCTCCGTTGTACCACTGGTTCTGAGACCATAATCGTTCACGTCTTTGAATGTCGCATCTTGACACGCCTTCAATTTGCCTTTGTACAATCGCTTCACACGCTTGATCCGTGATTGGCGATCGAGCAAGTCTCCACTGTCCAAATTTAATGGAAACTTTTTGGCTTTTGCGACAACGCCAAGAATGATCGCGGACTTCAGCCATTGGGACTTGCCCGCCACGCCGATTGGATCATAATACTCAATGACATCTCCTGCTTTTAGAGGTATCCTTTTTGATGCAGCGCGTTTATCTAGTCCATACAAGTCGAGATCATTGTCGCTATTTCCCTCGTCCGAGCTCTCACAATAATGAGACAGCTTTCGATTCAAGGTTGCTTGTCGTGGTGTAGAGGGTTTGCTTTGCGTCTTGGTTGCTTTCTTTGTCGTGGATTTGGCCTTAGAAATGGAAGTTTCCTCTCTTTCTTGGACAGTTCTCCACATTTCACGTACTGCCAAAATTTCCGCTCTAAAGCCAACTTCATCATCCTTGAAATGCTTTTTCAAGTGTCTGATGTACGTATCCATCCCGCTTTCTTTATTCTCCAAGGTGAGTGGGATGTATTCTTTCTCCTTGAGAAAAGCATGCCAGTGTGCTGTATCACTTTGATACCCAAGATATCGAACCATTATTTTGTCCCGTGAAGAATCTTGCATCAATCCGATTCTTTCGTCCGGCTTGCAAAGTCGGCAGGGGTACCAAGTATTCTCTTTGGCTCTCTTCTGTTTCGGAGCCTTGTGCCAACCAAGCTGATCAGCGCGATTTGTATCACCGAGTCCTGGGTACTTCAAACCCTTGATCAATTCTTGCGCTGTCAAACAGTGGAGGGAGGGAGAGTGCCAGATTGTGAGGGTGCTATTGTTGTCCACGGAGACGATCAGGACAGATCCCGCACAACGTCGAGCGCATGGTCATACTTTACCTTTGGCTTCAATTTGTTCTTCTGACAACGCAGGTTTGCGGGAGATAGCTTGTTGTCTTGGTGCAGATGAATTGCTCTCTAAAGAGCTTTGACTAAGCGATACAATGCTTGATGGAGAGTCAGTTTCGTGCTGCTTTGGCTTCTTCCTGGATTGGAAAACTGGATCTAACTTCAAGAGGTCACAGTCTGAGTCGTCACTACTATCAGCTGCGGCTTGGCGATAGTATTCCAGAGAATGTTCCATTTCTTTTGTCCAATCGTAGGTACCGGTAGATATTGGGCTGTTTGTCAAAAGGGTGTCAGACGCAGTACTGTAGAGGTGCGAGTACTGTAGTGAGTAGCGAGAGGAACTGTACAATAGAAGAATGGCGATGCCAGCTTCCAGTTCAATAAAAGTTTGCGCCAAAAATTATTGAAAGTCAAATCTCATCCCCCGTTTTGAAACCAAAAATGAACCCCAACAAAAAAATATTATGGGATTGAAAATCACGATGTTATCGTTTGCTGCTGCATCAGCACCAGTGCAATCACAAAGCAAAATAGTATCATAATGTCAGATGATAAGGTTACCGCAGATAGCTACGGAAAAGTTGAAGTCACCGAGCACAACACGGAATGCTGGATGCTTCGCATTCCACCTGTATTATCCTCTGCTTGGGATGATGCCCCAGAAGGCACTGTCTTGGGAGAACTTGTATTTCGAAAGGGTGGAAAGATTCCTGGGAGACCGGCAATTAAACCAGGACTAGATGTTGTCTTAGATCCCAACATTGCGACGAAATTGCCCCAGCAGTATTCGCTGCAAGCGATGACCAAGAAGCTACCTGTCTTGCATCCTTTCACTCGGCATCCCAATGGCAGTGTCGCAATTCATGGAAAAGTGACACGAACTGGTAATCTCCAAGTGAAGCAGGATGCAAACTATCGGCAACTCTGTAAGGATAGAATTTTGAAAGGCACCGTCCACAAATCCCGATTTGTCAAACCCATTGAAGCCAATCAGGTCGTTCATCAGTCCAAGAAACGGGCAGCCGGTGGTGGGGCTGCAGCTGGCGGAAATGGTTTTGGTGATGCCGTTCATCAATTTGGAAAGCGAATGATAGAAGCACAAAATACAACGCAGCAAACCAAGAAAGCAAGATTTACGGCGGATCAGCCGACCAAGTCCATTATTTTCGAACTCTTCGAGCAACAACAATTCTGGGCTGCAAAAGACCTCAAAGCAGCATCTGGGGGTCGATCGGATAATGAGATCCGAGAAGTGCTCAGAGAAATTGCGGACTACCATCGAAGCGGTGATCACAAGACACTATGGGAACTAAAAAAGGAGTTTCAGAACAAGAGCAAATCGGATGCGTGATGCATCCGTTAGCAATTTCAAGCCAGGGATTGTTCCTGTTTGATGTTTTCAGTATTAAAGGGTGCTATTAATAACCTCTTCCCTCTTTTTTCAAGAACATAGACCCCATGCCTATGCATGCGTCACATACTGCAATAGATTTCAAATTTGTTGGTTGGTTGATATTCGTGATTCATCATAACGCAGCTCTCTCAACATTTCGCCGTGAAGCTGTAGGCTTTGTTTATGAGTATGCGAGAAGCGTCCTATCTGTTGTGTAATGAAAGGAGTCAACCCAAGGTTCGGGGGGTGGATCTACTTTCTTGAATACCATATCGGTGGGTACTGGTACACATTCAACATATTACACAATGCCAAATTTCCCGGGACTGACATTTTTCTGTTTGAAAAAAAATGACAAACTTTCGTGGTAACACTTTAAGCATGGGACAGGCGCCCTCTAGCTATACTGAAGGTGCAGAGAGAGACGACTTGAGGAAGAATTTCCTCAAGACGCATCGTCCCGAGCAAGAAGCCAAATGGATTCTGGACAGATCTGAAGTGGGTGCGGCTTTGATGTATCAAGCTGACGAAATCATGAAATTGAAAGGGATGTCGTGTGATGAAATCTATGAAGGAAATAAAAGAAACGACTTTCAAAGGACTGACAGTGGACTTCTTCTTGGTACCACGTCGTCTGTAGTCTCCAATATTTTCTCAGATACAACGACAGCTACTGACACAACACTGCCGACAAAAAATAATATCAAGAGATACCACCCTCGGGCAAACAGCACAAATGAAATGAATCCCTATGGAGACGAACGCGACGAAGATGATTTAGTTATTATGCCAATGTCAGATATGTTGTCACCGTCAAGCAGCAAACTCCCACAATTACCTACTGCTGAAAGAACAGATGGCATTTTCAACATATATTCCAAACTCGTCAGCGCCTGTGCTCAGCCAAAGGAAGAGTGGCAGCTGAGGCGAGAAGAGCTAATGACTGTACTACACCTCAGAATGAAAGCTTATCTTGGGCGATACTTTCTCGATCGCTTTTTGCCAATGTTTCCGAGTTTTGGATCGACTCTTGTTGAACCATCTCGTCCGCGGCAACATGACCCAGAAGATACGGATGCTTCGGACGGACTCACTTTCAATGCATTTGAGCCAGCATCTCCCTTGAATTATATATATCATTCAATACCCAATTCACCATTCATGGATCTCGGGTTTACGGGGAGCTTGAATTTGGTTTCTCGTTCAACCACGCCTTCGAGGGCATTCCTAACGGAACACCAAAAGAACCCAAGTCACTACATTGTTCTTGTGAATCGAAGGTCGGGTGTCCCCATTGCCGTATGCGCAAGGAAAATGGGGTCAGGCAAACCACCAGTAGTTCGAATCTATGCAACAAGGCGTCGGGTATTTGGGCAACTGGCTGCAGCGTCAACAGAAAAACTTGGATTAGATTGGAGTGAAAACTTACCGTTGTACCCATGGGCGGAAATTGTGACAGAAACAATGTACCCGAACCCGTTGACTTTCTCCATTTATATGTCGGCAGGATCAGATGGGAGATTTGCTGCAAAACCGAGCTACGAGGCTCACCTTGCCATCGACCCAGAGCCTGTTGTCAAGCTATCCGGAAAGACTGATGCAGAAAGGCAACCATCTGGAAGTGCGTTGATTTCATTGCGGATCGTAGATGGGGAAAATGGAAGGAGCAAGGTTCAGTTCAGTATTGATGTAGCTCAAGGAATCGACCCTGCACTAGTGCTGTGCTTTGCAGCAGTCTTGGACGAGATATTGGAGGTATCAATGTTCTTACAATGCCAAGCCCGTTCAGCTCATTAGATTAAAGAAACGAATATGGTACACCTTGTACCTGCAGGTTCTTAGTTGGTAGCGATTGCTGACATATTTTCCAGTAGTCAAGATGCACTACGTTACAGTCTTGCAGTATGCTGTACTCTGTGCTGTTTTGGCGTCTTGCGATGGTGCTGATCGACAATACTGTTTGTTGATGTGCCGCAGTTCTTCGCTGCTTTGCACTTCTGAGCCATTTTACTTCCAAATTCGAAATCAACTAATAAACCAACGTCTTCAACTGAAAGTACGATGGTCCATTCTCACATCCTTGCCTTTTTTTTAAATCCAAAGGTTATATAAATATTTGCTACAGTGGTCCTACCGGTAGCTAGATGTTTAGAGGAACAAGCACTATTTGTATTATAAAGCATAGTTTGGCCTAGGAACCCACTGTCCCAATAAAGACAGCCAGTTGTCAGATGCAACCATGACAAGACCAGCCTTAGAAATCTTCTGTTCTCGATGTCACCTGAGTTGTCCGACAACCCATTGTTTATGGAAAATCATGTGAGCTTTAGCAAACTAAAAACCATTTCAAGACATTTATCCATGCCTAGGGTCGGAAGTGATCAACGACGAGCTAATGTACAGTGTGCAGTTTCAATTTCATCCGCCGGAGCCACCCTGAGCACAACTGCAATGTACATCGGGTATAGACCCTAAAGAATTTCACAAATGTCCCTTCGAAACAATAGTTCAAAACGTCATTCTAATTCGCTTTTGGCTTTGCTGCCGCCACATCAGATGATTCGAATTCACGATTGCGGGCAGCAGCAAAAACTTGGAGCGTAGAAAATGTGACATTCGGAGAAAAACATGGCGATCCGGTATCCAACAGGCCCTAAGCAGTCACAGGAGCAGAAGGCGAGAGAATCGGTGTGGTTGGTAACTTTGTATTTATGTTGGGGTGAGACATTGGTCATTTTGGGGTCGCGCAGGGCATAAAAAAACTTCAAGAGTCCAAATAAATGCTATTGAATTCATGAGAAGGAGTCATCCAAACTCAGATCACTTCACGATTACAAACACGACGGGATTGCCAAATCTCAGTTCCACGCACAACAAAACTCATTCAAGATTGCAAACTGAAAAAACTAAAATCATGCAAAACGACACACCTTCGATGACAACTCATGTTCCACTTGAGGTTTCACCAGTAGAAAGATTGCCAGCATGCGGGCATTTCGATGATCCCCTTGTTTCGCTCTCTTTCCTGAACAACCAAGGTGTTTATTACCTCCAGAAGGCAGATTTCAAGAAATCCATTGGTAGCTTTCAACATGCACTTCAATTACTTGGTCAACGATTTGATCCAGTTCGTATTGCAGCCCTGGGTTGTCAAGATGATTCGTGCTCTGACCCAGCCTGTGATAGCAAAACTTGTGATTGCGGAGTATCGAGAGACAGCTACATTTACCAACGTCGAGAATATGATGAAGGCATGCACCACTTCGGTGAACCCATCCAAATGGACATGGAAACTCTTTCTTCCATATCGTCGAATGATGAAGCAGCTATTGTTGTCTTTTACAACATCGGACAGCTCTGCTTGCTACGGCACAAGGATGAAGAGGCCACGGAGTGCTTTGCAAGAGCACTATACCTCGCTCGGTCATGCACACGAGACTCACCTGTGAGTCCAGTTGCCATCCTTCACAATATCGGATACATCCAGTATCGCAACATTGAGCTAGAAAAAGCCCTATCAACCTTCCGAGATGCTCTTCAAGCATTCCGTCCTACATCACACAAGCTCGACTACGCAGCAACTTTGAACTGCCTTGGAGTCCTATATTTTCACTTACCCAAGGCTGACACTAACAGTGCAATGGAAAACTACTCAAACGCACTCTCGATTCGAAGACAGTTCTACGGAAACGAACATAAAGACGTTGGAACCACTCTCAACAATATCGGCCGGGTCCACTATATTAAAGGCGAGTATGATCTCGCTTTGGTGCACTATCTAGAGGCATTACGCATCCGACGTTCGCTGCTTGGCAAGAACCATTTGGATGTTGCTGCTACATTGTACAACGCCGGTCAGACTTTCCATCAGAAAGGGGATCTATCGAAAGCTCTGAAGTATTACAAGGAGTTCATGAGAATCACAGTTCCGAAGCTAGGGCAAAATCATCGTGATGTTGCCATCATGCTCAAGTGCATGGCACAAATTTACCATGAACAACGAGAATATGAAAAAGCTCTAACTTTATATGGTGAGGCACTCAGTGTTGGGCGAGCTGCTCTTGGCATGCATGCCGAGGTTGCTTCCACACTCAACAAGATGGGAAATTTGTTTTATGAGCGTGGTGACTTTGACGCAGCATTGGAAAAGTACCAAGAGGGCCTGTCAGTTGAAAGAGCGGTACTACACTCTCTGCATCCCAATATCACTGTCACACTGACTAACATTGGTCAAATTCACAAGCAAAGGGGTGAATATAGTGCAGCATTGAAATTGTAAGTTCGTGTTGGCTTTGTGTGAAGCACCCCCGAGTATATTGCCACAGTTCACTCATTTCAGTTTCGAATCGTCGATATTAACAGGTACAAAGAGGCGCTTGATATTCAAGTGAAATCGTTGGGTGAGACCCACCCAAGTGTTGCTGTCACACTCTCTAATATGGGGCTTATCCACTACCAGAACAAATCGTACTCGAAGAGTCTCGACATCTACCAGGAAGCATTGCGCATCAGACGTGATGCATTTGGCGAAGACCACTTGGATGTTGCATCCTCATTGAATTCGATCGGGCTCGTTCTCTTCAAGCTAGGTCTCCACCAAATGGCTATGCAAAGCTTCTTGGAAAGTCTGAGAATTCGAAGATCGTTGCTTGGTGATGCTCATCGGGATGTTGCAATCATTCTTTACAACATTGCCACCATCCATTTGGAACGCGGTGATGAAGAAGAAGCGATGAAGTGCTACAAGGAAACCCTAAGAGTAGAGAGAGCAGCTCTGGGGCCTGACCATTCAGATGTTGTCCTTACACTCCAATACACAGCTCAAGTCCATCGTCAACGTGGAGAGCTTGAAGAAGCTTTGGATTGCTACAACGAGGTTCTCAGGATACAAAGAAAGAACTCCACTGAGAGCGCGGATGCCGCAATTGCCCGCACTCTAAATAACATTGCGAATGTTTACCTCCAACAAGGGAGTGCCAAGCAAGTCGTGTCTACTATGTCAGAGGCAACAAGGATCATGAAGCAAACAGGTGAAAATCCGGATGAGCTTCGACTTACTGGGTTCCACAAGTATGGATTTGCTGTTTTGTTCCCTGAAAACGCAGCTGCAGCCTAGTAGGGCTAAGAAATATTTTAAAATTTTTGTCCCAATTTTCGTAATTCGAATTTGCAGTCACATCCACCGACTGCTGCACGGTACCATTACCAGGTATAGTAAAAACAAAGATTTCGGTCATTACCGGTGCTGCATATCTTGCTGTTTATTTCTAGTACGAGTATCATCCTACCGGTAGCTGCACATTGAGCTATTCCGGGGGGGGATTGACTCTCAGTATTGAATACTGTACCGGGTAACCCGGTACAGAAGTCAATGATCAAATGAGTCAATTTTACAATGTCTGTCTGTGCGTGTGACCGACAACAGAGTGTCAAACCAGTCAATGAAAACTCATTTTTTTAGAAAACTGACCATGCCAAAGCGAGGACGAAAGCGAAAAAAAAACCGCACTCACACTGGGGATGTAGACAATGCATTGTTGAGTGCCGAAGAGGCAAAAATACCGAAGTCACTCGTGGTACGATATCGCGAAAGGCGAACCTGTTTTTTATGTTCCAAAAATCTTACACAACTTTCACTTTAAAGATTCGACGCGGAAAATGTGATCCTCATGTATCTGATTTGGTTCAAGACATTCGGAAGGTAATGATGCCATACACCGCCTCGAATTTCAAGGAGGATGCAAACTACCGAAAGCTTACACTTAACAAATACTCCCAGCATGTTTGCCTGCCGCTTGGAATTTCGCACATGCTTGCTTTTTCGCAAAACAAGGAGAAGTTGAACCTTCGAATTGGAAAGACTCCCCAAGGACCAACGTTGACTTTCCGAGTACACCAGTTTTCCTTAGCAAAGCATGTCCAAAAACTTCAGAGGCGTCCCGTGAATACCAATACTCTGGCCTCGAACCCTCCGATTGTCGTTACCAACAATTTCGGAGATGCTACAGCTCCTCCACAAGTCAAACTCATGCGAATTACGTTTCAAAACATGTTCCCAGCTATCAATGTTTCAAATGTAAAGCTAAAAGAGTGTAGAAGGGTGGTTCTTTTCCACTTGATCGAAGATGAAAACGATGGCCAAAGAGTTGAAGTTCGTCACTATGCCATCAAAGCAACTCCAGTCGGCGTCAACCGGAAAGTGAGAAGGTTGATTCAGACGAAGATCCCAAACTTGAATAAAGTTCAAGACATTGCTGATTACATTGCAGGGAGTGGGCATGCTGCGACTAGTGTCGACGCCGCCAGCGATTCCGAAGCAGAAGATAACAGTGCTGTTGTGGAGTTAGCTCAAAACTATACGGGCCGGGGGAACAGGGGTCAGTCCAAATCGGCGCTAAAACTCGTAGAGTTGGGCCCCAGAATGGCTATTCAATTGATCAAGGTTGAACAAGGTTTGGGAGAGGGCAACATCATGTTTCATGCGTTTGTCCACAAGACGCCAGAGGAAGCGAAAGAAATTCAAGAGAGCCAAGAGAAAGAGTCAAGACTCAAGCGTGAACGACGCGAACAACAAGAACGAAATGTCGAGACGAAAAGAAAGGGCAAAGAAGAGAAAAGAGAAGCCAAGCGACAAAGGAAGAAAGAGCGAGAAGAGGCTGCCTTGGATGAATTGCGAAAGAAGGAAGAAGAGGAACTTGAAGACGATAACGAGGATGATGCAGATATCGACGACTTGCTTGCAGAATATACGAAAAAAGATAGTGATGCACCTGGTCGTTATGGCGGTAATGTTGATGACGAAGAAGAGGAAGCCAACGACGACAGTGACTAGTGATGACTCTTCAATTTCTTCAACTCAGTCTTTCCATTTTCAATGAGTAATCCTGTAGTGATACAGCACGATTCCGAGCTTCAAAGTAGAGTTTGTCATTTTGTGCATTCAAGTACGCTGCGATTCGAAGGGTACCTTCAACATGGCTATCGTCGATCACTTCAAACTTCCATATGTATTCCGTATCGGTTGTTACAGGTGGGGCTGTGTTCTGGTTTGTCAAAGCAAAGATTGACCGTTGTAACTCGTACACAACCCATTTTCGGTCACCAAGTGACTCGTTGCCATGGGCGACCACAAAGCTTTTCTGGGCCGCGGGTCCTTTGAAGTATACCATAGTTGTCTGCAATGGGTCTTCCTCGGTCCCTCCAAGCAGCAGGACGGACTTCCGATTCGATCCTCCTACGTCTGCATATTGGACAGATGCAACAACGTCTTTACCAGCAAAAGCATTAAGACGCTGTCTTGTGTTGAACAGGCGATCTTCTGCGACTCCCCATCTGGTGGGAAGGTACCTAAGCTTCAGCTTCACTGGTTTGTCTATTTGCGATTTGGATTGTTCCATTGTCTTTTCTGCAATAGAAAGGTCCCCATTTGGTCCTCCGAGATACTTTAGTCCCAGTGGAGTCGTCGTGGAAACTAGCGTTTGGATCGTCTGCCACTCCCCTTCAAGAAAAGACGGGAATAATGTGATGTCGTTACCTTTGAATTCTGTTGAATATGATGGTGGCGGCAATGTCAAAATACTCTCACTTATTTTGCTCTGAATGCTCGGTGCTGCGACTCCCTTTGAGCATGAAGATATCCACAGTGCTGCAGTCGTAGCTGTTCCAAGAACGGATCTTCTGTCAACTGATAACAATGAAAGCGTAGAAGCAAAAGCTGGCAGGATGGCAAACGTCATCAGAAGTGTGTTTTTCCTAAGCATGGTAAAAGAATGCATCGAAACGACACAGTGCAACAACGAAAGAAACTCTAATGTTTGGATCTTTGTCACTTGTCACTACAGTATACATTACGGTGGGGTGCGCTGCGGTCGAATGAATCATGATTCAAAAATCCCAGAATTACAGTACTTTGCCATTCCAGGGCCAAACGAAGGAATCGAACAACCATGACCCTTCCAGTAGACGCATTCGCCATTGGAGTTGGCGCAACTCTTGGTGCGCTTTCCAGACATCATGCGGGACGAGTTACCGCCGAGTGGATTGGAACCGAGCCGAATCGTCTTGGACAGTTTGCTGGATGGCACACTGCTGGCATAAACATTGTTGGATCTTTCTTATTGGGAGGCATCGCAGCGATTCCTGTAGTTCCCGAGCTGCCAGCGTCCAATCATACTACATCGCCATCAATGCAATTCGAAGGATTATTAACACCAAGAACAAGGTTGTTCTTTGGCGTTGGTTTCTGTGGGTCTTTCACAACATTTTCGACTTACAGCGTTGACGTTGTAACTTGGTTGGCTGAAGGAAAAACTATGCGGGCAATGTCGTACATGGCTGCCAATAATGTCGGGGGGATTGCGGCTGCTGCTTGTGGCATGTCTCTTGCGAAAAAGATTTTCCGATGACGAAAGATTGGAGTGAATTGTAAAGCATTATGTTTTACCCGTTGTTTCTGATTGTCATGCTACTTTTATACGATACTTCGTGCTACAATCACTGGTCCAAAGCGCTCTCCTGGACTCCGTTGTTTGAAGTTGCTTTCTTCCAAAACTAGATGAACCTTGAGTCTACCGCTTACCGATTTCGGAAGGCAAACAGCAGGATATACGGTTCCTCGGAATCGGTTCACAGCTCTATCATGCAGTGGCTCGGCGTTCAAATAAAACTGGACCATTGGAAGATCAGACTGCTGAACTGCGACACCAACCACGTCTCCATTTTCAACTTCTACCTTTCGCATCCAATTTGTACCAGTGTGTTGTGAGGAAACTCCTGTTCGTTTTTGGCAAGTTTGGACAATCCCATGGGTTAGATAAACACAGCACTATCGAGCTTTCTCGTCAAATGCTTCTCGTTCAGCCAAATGATATGAGCAAAATCCGTAGCATATAAAAACGCACCTTCCTCTCCGAGTATTTTGTCCTCTAGCTCCTCATAGAAACCCCTATTCTTCTTACTCGTTACCCCGAACATAATTGTGTCACAATGAGTTTTCGACGGTAACTTTATGTGCCACTCCCAATATGCAGCATCTTGCTCAATTTGTACGCCCGCCAACGCCAAACCGTCTCCAGAGATCTCTCCTTTATCTCCAATTTCCACATTCGGCGACGTCATGTTTTTCGAAATCGACAGCTTCTTGACCTTCATTTCTAGCTCTTTTTCTGAAAGGCCATCTTCTTTTTGGCAGCAAGAACCACAACAACCCATCAATCTATCTATTATCAAGATACCGTACTGTAGATACAGGCGCAGAATTGATAATGAGCACAGCAACCCCGATGTTGTTTTTGTAATTTTGATAAAATTAAAAATGCTTGCACAGCATTTATGATAGTCCTATGATTGACTCACTCGAATGACAGAAATATTATAGAATCGAAGTGGGGGAAATTCAAAATATTGACCCTTTTAGTTTGGAGGAATGAAAAGAAAACTTCAGACTTTTATTTGCGGTACCGGCGGTACCTGGTAGTGTGCAAAGTTACCAACAATTCAGGCCTATCCATGAATAGCAACAGTCAAGGTATTCCAATCGAGGATGCCCTTTCCATCTTGTCGTTGCGCAAGCCGCATCACCATGCCGATTGCAATTCAATCGGTGACCGTGCAAAGCACATGGGGCAGACCATCGACCTACTCGAGACAACAACAACAACTGCGGAACGAGGAAACGAAGAAATACGAATCAGAGACGAAGAAAGGCACAAGAAAGTTCAAAACGAACTGAATGAGATGCCAGAAAGCGAGCTGCTACAAGCTGTTTTGAGGGTGCAAGAAGATCGTGTCAAGACGTATAAAAACTACGAAACGTAAGTTTTTGGTTCTCAACTCTAGCTGCCGCCGTGTCAGCTCATGAGTCGTATATCCAACTTGAATGAAATCGATCAAAGCGATCTCGGTACTGTGCTTCACACGGGGAACATGACTGGATATCCCGATGCCTGTCTATCAGCAACGGTAAGTTGATGATTTGATCGCCACATTTTGAAAATGCTCTGACATACTTAACATCAAATACCATTACAACAACGATGTGATGGTTGAGCAGGCGTCCTTCTCGGTACTAAGTGAAACTGTGAATGCAATCCAAAGTGTTCTGGAGCAACGTGAACAAAAGGAACTGGTGGGACTCTTGAAACAACTACAAGGGTACGAAAAGGATAAACTACACATAACAGCAGCTCATCATCTAGAAAGAATACGGAAACGAAACGAAGAAATGCAGCCAAACTGCGATCCAAGAAACATGAAACTTTTGGAAGATGGGGTTGCATCATTACAGCACAAAATAAATGCAACTGTTGATAATATCAATGAAACAATTGATGAGATTCGTTGCATGTTGCTTGATTTGGATGACCAATAGCAACTGGATGGCACACGAAGTGCGAAGTGAAGAACGAGTATAGAGCTCTAATTGACTACCACATTCTACAACATCATTGTTTGAAAGCAATGTAACCACACAAATCGTCCCTGCCTTCTGCAGTCCACTAGCAGCATGCTCCACTGTTTTGAACTCAATCGTAACCCCCATGGGTCAATCTGACGCTCCGTTCAACGCCTCAACTCGACTCTTTGTTCAGGTTTCGAGTCGAAATCCACGATGTTTTCTTCAGACTACTAACCCAATCAACAGCAATCATTGCAGATCGCAGTTTCATTCGTGCATTGAAAGTCTTTAATCTCTGAGATGTACCTGTTAGCGCCATCATTCTCAAGCGATCATCAGATGCCCTCATCCATCTATGTTTCAACGCATCTGCGGAAGTCATCCTTTGATCAGGATCTAGAATCAATAACTGCTTAACAAGGTCCTTTGCGTCATCTGAAACGTCACACCAATCATCGTCATCAAACTCAAACTTGCCAGAAACGATTTTCTTGAATAACTCCTTTTGACTGCGCCCCATAAAAGGTAAATTGCCGCTTAACAAGAGAAATATTATGCATCCAACCGACCACATATCGGATTGTTGATCATACGGCTGTCGCATGAGAATCTCGGGAGATACAAAAAATGGTGTTCCGCACTGTTTTGTCAAAGATTTAGGAGCATGACATCTCGCTGCAAATCCGAAATCTGCAAGCTTAATGTACGAATCGTTGTCTTCGCTCATCAACAGCAAGTTCTTCGGCTTCATATCGCAATGGGCAATGTTATGCGCATGGCAGAATGCCATAGACTTCAACATTTTAACTGTAAGGTCACGTGCATCAGCTTCACTGTAAGTTTTCTTTTTTCCAATTCGGTCAAAAAGATCACCACCACTCATCAGTTCCATCACAAGGAAGTAACAGTCTTTCTCTTCAAAGAAATCAATAAGTGGAACGATATGGGGGTGTGTTAGAGATGACATGATGGCCACTTCGTCGTAAATTGCTGCATCATCATTCGGTGGCAAGTCTTTGCGCAGAACGCACTTAATTGCAACTTTTTTCCCACTGGCACGATGCGTACCACGACACACAGTTGCAAAGGAACCTGATTTGAGCTTTCAAAAGAAGAAACTTGATTGAGATTTCCCTGCTAAAAAATCCGATAATCGAGTCATGTTTGACACTTACCCTTGCGTTCAATTGGTACACCTCTCGAAAGATTCTTCCTTTGCATCCTTCGGGAAATTCAGGGAATTCACATCGCACCACAGCTTTGCGCACAACTAGAGAGGTGGCTTCGAAAGTCGCCTTTGCCTCCTTAAACCCTGGTAATGAAGTAGACGAAATGGATGTGTCTGATTTGCCAACCAGGGTGGCGTCTACAACAAAAGTAGTTCTTTTGTCACCTGAAGCCCTCGCCATGCAAACGATTTGAATGCGATAGTCAGGTGCTTGCACTTTGTCGATGTCAAGTTCTAGTTTCCAAGTACAACCCTTTGGTTCAAAGCTGATGCTACTAACATCATCGGAACCGTCGACGAACTCCTTCAAGAACTTGTTCACAGAATCAGAAATAAACTTCAACTCCTCAGATTCATTCTCCAGCTCTCGGATGGATTCTGTAAGGTATTTTGTATTCGTTTGGTATGATTTCGAAATGGCAGCGTGCGAAGGTCCTCCTCCCTTCGATGTAGACACTTTTAGGACCTCATCATTGAGAAGCGAAGGACAGAGACCATCTTTGCGCTTTGCAAGCTGTGGTGTCATGTATATCTCTGCTTCAGCCGTCATGTTCCTACTTGGGTGTTTTGTCAACTGAGGTGCAGCCTTCGCTCAACGATTGAGATGCCGACGATAAATAATGATGTGCATCAAGTGGCAGGGTCATTTTCGTCGATCCTTGAGATTCCTTCCTTGCTTTTGGCTTTTGCATAGAGATTGGCTGATGCTTCTCGAATTCGAATTGCGTGATTCCGGATTCTATTTCTGATCAATTCGACTTCAGTGACTGCCAGGTGGAACTATTGTGTGGCAGGACGGCACGCATCAAACCCATCAATTTGACTACTCGAACCGCCTCGTGGAATGCAACTGTGTTGAAGTTGGGAAAGTCTCGACAAAGAAAACACTCCAACTCCTTAACCAGTGCAAGCACAATCTTGCTCAAACGAGATAATCCCATCGATCATTCAAGAAGTCCAATAAATTTTACAGTAATGAAGTGTACGGCGGCAAGTCTAATCTTCAGCGCTCTTCTTTTAAATCCTGAGGTCGAAGCAGGTCTTTCACCGCTTCCAAAATCCGGATCGAATGCAGTTTTTGGCAGACAAGGCTGGTTCTCCAGCGTTGACATCAGAGGGGGGTCCATGGGTGAGTTCTGCTATGTTCATTCTTTGGGCTGTGATATGTAAAATTAATATTTTCTGTGTAGCTGTTGATGAAGAAAAGTCTGCCAAGAAGAAGAAAAAGAAGAAGAAGAAGTCAAAGGCTCCCCCGACAGTTGAACCAGCAAATGCAGATCTTTCAATGGCAATTCTTGGGGGATCATCCGATCGAAATTCCATGGAAGTCTTTTCTTATTCCAGTGACGATGGTCACTCTGTTGTAGGTATCACGGAATCTGCAATGGAAGAAATGGGTCTATTCGAGGGTGATACCGTTTCAATTAAGGGTAAGCGTGGAAAGAAAACGCTAGCAAGTGTTGCTGTCTTGGATGAGTCAGATATGATGAGTGGCTCCCCTGACTCTAGCGCGATCGGCATGTCGGGTGACACAATGAAGAATGCTGGTGTTCGTGTAGGAGACAAGGTTTCCATTGTTGCTGCTCCCAATGTCAAGTTCGGAAAAGCCGTCCTTATTTTACCAACTGCAGAATCGCTCGAACTAGCCGGAGTTGAAAACATGGATGATGCCAATCTCTTTGATGACTACCTCAAGCCTTACTTCCAAGGCAAGTTCAGAACACTGCACCGGGGAGATAACTTCCATTCCAGTGGACCTCTTGGAGAGCTTGAATTCTCTATTGTTGAGATTGACTCTGTCGAAGTTGATGGAGACTCAGCTTGTGTTGTTGTTGATGACACCTTAATCGAGTGCGACGGAGAGCCAATTGAAGCGGAGACGGACGATCTCGAGGGCGCTGGATATGATCAAATCGGTGGTGCAAGCCGTCACTTGGCTGCTGTTCGTGAGCTTGTAGAGCTTCCTTTGAGACACCCAGAGTTGTGGCGAAAGCTAGGAATTAACCCTCCACGTGGAGTCCTTCTCACTGGCCCTTCTGGGTGTGGAAAAACAGCAATGGCTCGAGCTGTTGCGGCTGAAACTGGAGCTTACTTTTTCGTTATCAACGGACCTGAAGTCATTTCAAAGCGTGCTGGTGAGAGTGAGACTAATCTAAGACGTGCTTTCGAAGATGCTCAAGCCAACGCAGAAGATTACAACGGAGCAATCATCTTCATTGACGAGCTTGACTCAATTGCGCCAAAAAGAGAGAAGGCTGGAGGAGAAGTAGAAAAGCGCATCGTTTCGCAGCTCTTGACTCTCATGGATGGCTTGAGACCCACGTCAAAGGTCGTAGTCATGGCAGCGACAAACCGTCCATCTGTGATTGAGCCAGCTCTCCGTCGGCCGGGACGTTTCGATCGCGAGTTGGACATGGGAATTCCAGATGAAAAAGGACGTCTTGAAATTCTCCAGATCAAGACTCGTGATATGAGATTGGGCAACGATGTTGATTTGGAATTGATTGCTCGAGAAACGCATGGTTATGTTGGTGCAGATATTCAGCAGCTTTGTATGGAAGCTGCATTAGAATGTATAAGAAGCAAAATGGGCCTTATCGACTTTGATAAGGATCAAGTCGATAAGACAATTTTGGACAGCATTTTAGTTGAAGGAGAACATTTCGACCATGCACTGGGGATAGTTCATCCATCTTCCCTTCGCGAGAATCAAGTAGAGATCCCAGATGTCCATTGGGATGACGTTGGAGGGCTGGAAGACGTGAAGCGAGAGCTTCATGAAACTGTTCAGTACCCAGTTGAACATGCCGAGAAATACATCAAGTTTGGAATGAGCCCAAGTAAGGGAGTACTATTCTATGGCCCACCTGGATGCGGAAAGACCCTTCTAGCAAAGGCAATCGCAAATGAATGTGGAGCTAACTTTATCAGTATCAAGGGACCCGAGCTTTTGACCCAGTGGTTTGGAGAGAGTGAAGCAAATGTTCGTGAACTTTTTGACAAGGCACGTGCTGCAAGTCCCTGTATTCTGATGTTCGATGAAATGGATTCTATTGCGAAGACTCGTGGTAGTGGTGAGTCCTTATTTGCTGTTGTATGGTTTTGCTCATTGCATAGCCCTCTTGCTCATTGCGTCTTTATCAGGTGGACCTGGCGGTAGTGAAGCTGGAGACCGTGTCATCAACCAAATCCTTACCGAGATTGATGGCGTTGGTGCAAGAAAGAATGTGTTCGTTATTGGAGCCACAAATCGTCCAGATATCCTTGATCCCGCCGTGATTCGTCCTGGGCGTCTTGATCAATTGATTTATATTCCCTTGCCTGACTTGAAGAGCCGAATGGCAATCTTCAAGGCGCAACTACGAAAGGCACCTGTTGACCCAAGCATCGATATCGAAGTCTTGGCACGATCAACACACGGGTTCAGTGGTGCCGATATTTCTGAAATTTGCACAACATCATCGAAGCTTGCCATCCGTGAAGCTATTTTGGCAGCCGAGGAAAGACAAAAGAAAATTGAAGCTGGTGAACTTGACGAAGACGATGACGACAACAGTGTTGGTGGACAAATGATCATCACAAAGAAACATTTTAATTTTGCCATGAGCAGAGCTAGGAGAAGTGTTAGCGAGAAAGACCTTGCATTGTTTGAAGAGTTCGCAGAGAAACAGAAGGCCGGACGTGGAGAAGCTGCTAACAATTTCAAGTTCTCTTCATCAGGTTCTTCTGCAGACTTTGAAGATGAGGACCAAGAAGATTTGTACTCCTAAAACATGAATAGTTCTTTTAAAAGCAAGCATATTCATAATAGCCCACAGCAGTGACATAAAGCGAGTCTAATTTTTTTCCATTACTGCATGTTATCAACATGTACCCTCCGAGTGCTACAAGACAGTAATTTGCAGACTCTAGCTTCGTCCTCAAATGGGCACACCCCGTGCTTGAGTTTCATACGTCAACGGGCACGCCCCGCGAGTGAGTTTCAGGCGAAGGCGTGAGTCTCACGATTCATCGGGACGCCCCGCGTAAGTTTCCATCGTCAACGGGCACGCCCCGCCCGGGGAAAAGAAGACGGGCCACTTTGCAGATCAGTGAACTTTCCGTATACAATATCTCTACATAAAAGCAAGCAATCAAGCAGCAATTACAGCATACAGTATAAACCATATTCATAAAACTAATGCAACTGTTACACTAGATTTGAAATGGAAGATTTTCGTTCTCTAGCCGTGGAAAAACGTGCAGGCTTCCGCCGGAGGACCAGCCAGCAATCCCATGCTGAGAATACTCCCGCCAGAGTTCGTTTAACGACCTGGGATTGCCCAATAGAATAGCCATGTTCGGAACTTCGATGGGACCAATATCTGCATTTGCTCCTCTTGCTGGAAGTGGTAGTGTAGCTGTTGGATATATTAGGATTTTTTAAGTACATATTTGGAGAAACGAGAAAAAGAGAATACATGTGAACGATAGAGAAAAGTAGTCGGAAGGTGAACGAATAAACAAGTTGAACTAGCAGCATATCAGGCTGACAAAGAGAGAATTCTGAGAATTTCCACTGAGCTGGAGAAGAAAGAGTAAAAGTCAAAAGTTGAAAGTTGACAGATTGTTCTCACTTTTTAAAATATATCACAAGCAACGAGTGAATTGGTTGATAAAGTAGGATCTCTAATAGATCTATATACTTCTATATACTGTAAATTCACATACTTAGAAGGCAACAATACCTGGACAGCTAAATTGCAGTCAATTGAACAGGTAGATTGCAGGCGGCAGTGGATCGCTTACTTCTAACAGTAGCAGTCTGCGACCAGTATTTGCTTGTTGGAGTTGGATTCGCAAGCCACCTTCAATTGTTCTGCCAAAAGCACAAATGTTGTTGTTTAGAATTCGATCACGATGCCGCATATAGGCTCTCAAATCTTAAACATTTGTATGAGATCAAGCAGCAAGTTGTTCAATTGTTGTTGCAGTTGCTGGATACTTATCTGGATGCTTTGGAAGAACAACAAGTCGCCCCTAAGTTGAGTTCCCTGCTGCCACCACGTTTCCACCATCACCAGCGCCCCCATACCCAGACAAATATTAACGCAGGAAATGGCGAGAAGCGATCGTTGAAGAGTTTCACGATATGACACGATGTGCGGCGTTTAGCGCAAAATGGAACGATGAGATTTACCAACTGGAAGAAGATGCACCAAAAGCAAACGGGTATTAAAGATAAAATGAAATGGGGCGTTCCGAGCAAGACTGGTTGCATGAAGATACCCACAGATACCTGGAGTCGATTCCACG